TCATTGATTCGTGCCTAAGAGAGGGACTAGAACTCCCAGTCTCCTGGCTTCTAGGCCAGCATCTTCACCGCCGTAGCATGATAGCTACAATTCTTCATTGATTTTACTAGCCATATACCTTATTTGTGCTCCCTTGGTCCACCAATTGGAGGAAGGTATCTCAGTTTAGTAATTGTGACTCCACTCCATTTTATTTTTTTACCCCTGCGCTATTCTGGCTTCGGCTGCCGTTGAGCAGAGGTAATGATTAACGTTTGAAGCCTGCTGTTCCATCACCTGCTAGAGGATAAATCTGGAATCTCTACAAATTGCAGGTGTTCATTGCTTTCATTACTGCCATCCTCCTCCTCTCTGCCTCCTCTTCATTTACTCCGTCATTTGCAACTAAAGGTGTATAAATTCATAACCAACATCCTCGTGGGCCATATGCCTAAATCAGCCCAACTGTTCTCTATCGTAATCGAGAATTCCCCTCCCTCAAAATGACAGTGAGTGAAAAATGGTGGGAGGGGGGGAAACGTGACCTTAACTTTGGCAAATATTCCCTCTCCCGCCAGGAGATTTATTACTATGTGATGAAATACGTAAGCTTGAATAAGTCACTTTTAAACATTTAAACCCTCCCTGTGTTTAGGATATTTATAGGGGTGTAACGAATTTGGATGGCGAGGTAATGAATTGGCACCCACCTGAATGCAGAGTGGCACAAAATCCTGGTTTCCCTGAATATTGTAGATTTATTTATGGTCTTGATGCAGCCCTCTCCACAATTGGCAGGAAGGAGAGGCGGACATTATACCGGCTATGGAAATATATATCAGCGATTTTGTTCCCCTTTTGATCATCAAGTTTTACAACTCACCGCATTCCCAATCTTTGGCAGTGTTTCTCTCTTTGTAGAGAATCTCCTTCCTCCAGGTCTCCTGGTTGTCCCAAAGGTGCTTTTTTTTTTTCAAGAAGCAACTGGACTTTCTGGTTTTTCTTTGAAGACATTTCGCTTCTCATCCAAGAAGCTTTTTCAGCTCTTGAGAGTCCAGTTGCCTCTTGAAAATGCATCTTCGGGACTTTAAGATGGATGGACTTTCCTTCCTTCCTTCCTTCCTCCCTCCCTCCCTCCCTCCCTCCCTCCCACCCTCCCATCCATCCATCCATCCATCCATCCATCCATCATTTCCTTCCTCTATCCCAAAGGTGCTTTTTCAAGAGGCCACTGGACTTTCTGGTTTTTTTTTCTTTGAAGACGTTTTGATTCTCATCCAAGAAGCTTCTTCAGCTCTGACTGGATGGTGGGGAATGGAAAGCCAGAGCTGAAGAAGCTTCTTGGATAAGAAGCGAAACATCTTCAAAGAAATACAACCAGAATGTCCAGTTGCCTGCTGAAAAAAAAAGCACCGTTGGGACTGCTTCTCTCTTTCTTCTTCTTCTTTTTTTTTTGGAGGGTGTGTCTAAAACTGAAGTATTGTGTGAAGTGTCGGGAATAATAAAAAGATCCAGAGATTCCCATATAAAGAAAATTGGAGCTCTGCCCAGTCCAGAGATGACGTTGCCATCATGCTTCCATGTCATGCTTGGAGTCCCAAGGTGATGGGAGAGGCGAGATGGTCACCATGATGTAAAAAATATGTTGAGACTCTACAAAAAGTGCAGAGAAGAGCAACCAGGATGATTAAGAGACTGGAGGCTAAAACACAATGAACGGTTGCAGGAACTGGGCCTGGCTAGTCTAGGGAAGAGAAGGACCAGGGGAGACAGGATAGCAGTCTCCCAATATCTGAAGGGCTGCCACAGGGGGGAAGGGGTCAAACTATTTCCCAAAGCTCCTGAAGGCCAGACAAGGAATAATGGATGGAAACTGAACAAGGAGAGATTCAACCTGGAAATAAGGAGAAGTTTTCTGACAGTGAGAACAATTAAGCAGTGGAAGAACTTGTCTCCAGAAGTTATGGGTGCCCCATCACTGGAGGTTTTCAAAAAGAGATTGGACAACCATTTGTCTGAAAGGGTATAGGGTTTCTTGAGCATTGAGACAGCAGATTTCCTGATCCAGGGGTTTCCTGAGCCGGGAGTAAGACTAGAGGACCTCAAAGGTCCCTTCCCACTTATTCTGCTATTCATAGAATGTATGTGAAGATGCCAATGAAAATATGGAGATTCAATTTCTCTGGCCCAGATTTCCCGTCATCCGTATACCTCACGCTCCATAGAAAACAAGAGCCAAATTTAAAAGAGCTTCCTAGAGTAGTTTGGTGTTTCGTGCCTCCTGCTCTGGGTTGAATCCCCAGATCAGCTTTTTCCCAACTCTTCAGATTTTTGATCGAAAATGCTTGCTTCTGGGGACAACTGACCATATTTACCTCTTTCCCATCTCCATCATTTCCCCTCCGTTGTCGGATGTCCAGGTGTTGACCAGCATTTTGAAACACACTGTGGTCCCGTGTACCCAAGAAGACCTGTCCACCGTCCAGGATCGTTGCCGGGATCCAGCTATTTCCGTGAGGAAGTTAGCGCTGCAGTCTGTTACGGAGCTATTACTGGTAAAGTGGTACCTTCTGACCAGAGGTAGTATTCAGCAGGTTCCGACCGGTTCTGGAGAACCGGTAGCGGAAATTAAAATAAACCCGATTGGCCAGCCGAGCTTTCTAACCAACGTCTCCTCCTTCTCCTCCTCCTCCTCCTTCTTCCAGTCACAACCAACGAACCTTCTGATGCAGAAGGCCTGGCTCATGGGAGTCATCCCTGTTATTATGGACTGTGAGACCTCTGTCCAGGAGAAAGTCCTGGAGTGCGTAGATCACCTCTTGCTGCAGCACATGAAGCCCTGCCATAAATTCACGCCTCAAGACAAGGATCAAGTGCTGGCTTGGGATCTCCTTACGTTGCTCACGACAGAGACTCAAGAGCTGAGGTAGGTTTTCTTACGTCTGGCTGCCCCGAGGACCCTCTCCTCTAATCTTACATGCAATAGACTTGTATACTGTGACACAAGGACAGTTTTTTCCCCTAACGCCATCACTCTGCTAAACAAATAATTCCCTCAATACTGTCCAACTATTTACAAAGTCTGCACTACTATTACTATGAATCTTCCCATCCTTCCTTTCAACCATCTCCTCTCACTTATGACTGTAACTTTGTCGCTTGTATCCTAACGATTTACTTGACTGCTTCCTAGTATGATTTGATTGCTTATTTGTACCCTACGACTATCATTAAGTGTTGTGCCTTCTGATTCTTGACAAATGTATCTTTTCTTTTTATGTACCACTGAGAGCATATACACCAAAGACAAATTCCTTGTGTGTCTAATCACACTTGGCCAATAAAGCATTCATACATTCATTATGTAATGTCTCAAAGGTGCTAATTTTTTTTTTAAAAAAAATATTTTTATTGATTTTCTATTAAATACATTTCTTGGTGCATAATAAACATCATGTTGTTAAATAATTTGCTTAACAATACAAATTTACATTCTTAATCTCCACCCCTTTTTTCCAACTGTTGGTAAAATAAGTTCCACGATTCATAATATTCTACTTCTTTCTGTTTAATTTTCAGTGTCAGTCTATCCATTTCTGCTCAATTTGGTATCTTCCTGACTATCTCTTCATCTCGCAGTGTGTCTTCATTTTTCCAGTATTGCGCGAATGTAATCCTCGCTCGCCAAGACTGAACCCTCTCCTTTAACCTTAGGCACGATGTCCCGAAAGGTGCTTTTTCAAGAGGCAGCTGGACTTCCTTTGTTTTTTCTTCTTCTTCTGTGCCTCTTTCCTGAAGTATCTTCCTGCCTAAGCGAAAGCAAAAAACGCTACACCTTGATAAAGAGTGTAGAAAGTTTCAGCATTGGAAGCTGAAAGTTGAGAGAGGGAGAAAGCTAAGTCCTCAAGACTGCTATTTGCCTGACCTTAAGTGCAGACCCTTGTTTTTTTTTATTAAGTTAATTTGTTGTTAGTTGCGAAGTCGTGTCTGACCCATCGGGATCCCATGGACAATGTTCCTCCAGGCCTTCCTCTCTTCTACCATCTTCTGGAGTCCATTTAAGCTCACGCCGACTGCTTGAGGGACTCCATCCAGCCACCTCCTTCTCTGCCGTCCCCTTCTTCTTCTTTTGCTCTCAATCTTCCCCAGCATCAGGCTCTTCTCCAATGAGTCCTTCCTTCTTATGAGGTGGCCAAAGGATTTGATTTTCATCTTCAGGGGTCTGGCCTTCTAAAGAGCAGTCAGGGTTGACCTCTAGGACTGGCCGGTTGAATCGCCTTGCAGTTCAAGGGACTCGCAGGAGTATTATAGAGTATTATAAAATATAAAATATAATAAAATATTATAGAGTATTATAAAATACAAAATGCAAAAGTAAATAGAAGAGCAGTGGGGGGGGGGAAAAGGGGGAAGAGAAGTGAGGAAAGATAGGGAAAAAGAAGAAGAAACACTGACTATTACTGTAAAATAAGGCATTAACATCAAATCACGGCTTTTTGCTTTTTTTGTAATAATACGAACAAGTCATTTCTATAAAGATCCATCAATCTAATCTGTAAAACCCCAAAGTCAGAGTTTCATTCTTTTCCACACGAAGCACAAAGTTCAGAAGTGGAAACAAAAACATACTTACGTTCTTTTCTTTAATCAAAGTGGTCAGTTTTGCCACTTCAGCCAACTCCATCAACTTCTGCAACCATTCGTCCATGGTAGGAATCCAAAGTGTCCTTCCATTTTTGCACAGGTCTTTTTTTTAATCAGCAGAGATGGCTGAATGCTCATTAGAAATTCCCCTCCCTCCTTTGCAGAATATCCATCCTTACTGTGCTCAGCTTGTTTCCCTGCCTGCAACTCCGAGCATTTTATTCCATGCTCTCTTTTTCCCCCTTTCAAATTTTACAAGAAGCAAAATAAAGGGGTGAGGTGCAGCTTTGGGAATGACAGGAACATATGCTGATTAGAAACAGCATCTGTTTATTACTCAACAGCGTGTAACAGTTTCTGAAATAGAACATGTTGTGTTAGGATGGATGATACCATCACAAATCCTAATTTTGGTCCATGGATGAGACACTCGGAATTTTTACATTGCCTGGGAGTTTTATGAATCATTTCATATTTTTTTGTCCTATTTTGAGACAAGTGGAGAAATGTATATGGGAGGAAGACAGGTTTTGGCACCAAGGAATATCACTTCTGAAGTTTAAAGGGTCATGGGTAACAAATGAGCAAGATGAAAGAGCTAAATCCAGATACTGCTTAGTCATTAAAAAGGCGTAGAAAACTTCTGATGTGCCAAAATTAAGTTCAGAGCCTCAGGTTTCAAAATCTCCTTTTTTTTTTGAATATTTCGATTAATCTGATACACAGATTGTATAAATGTTGCATATTACTTTGAAGAAAGCTCTGACAGTCTGTGTGTATGGAATAGACCCTTCCGTGGTTCTTTGAATGTTGACTCAGAGTGTTTAAAAACAGCTTCTGCCTTTGTTGTAAGTTAAGATAGGCTCCTGTAGTTTGTGAACCTTAAACTTTGGATAGCATGCATTAGCAATAGCAGTTAGGCTTATATATCACTTTACAGTCCTCTCCTTGTGGGAAAAAATTGTTTGATACTCATTGTTTTTGGTACTCATCACACCTCCCCGAATCAATTGAGTATTGAGGTACCACTGTGTGATGCCCCTGTCGGAGTCTGAATCAGAGGAGGAAGACGAACAGCTGACAGGGAGTGGGAATGTGGCTCCATTGGCTGTGGAGGAAACTGGGAAAGGCAAAGTCCGGCTGGGCAGAGCAGGAGAGAGATAGAACAAGGGAGAGGAAGTTCAGAGGAAGAACCCTCTTCATCCTAGGGCACGCAGGGAGGAACGGAGAAAAGAGCAACGTGGGTTGCATGGCTTACGGGGGAGGAAAGGGCCCTGATTCCCTTCATTAGGCACGCCTGAGAAGAGAGTTTAAAAGAGATGCAAAGAGATGAGTGCGATGTGTGCTGGGAACAAACGTGAGTTTATCTTGTGTTGACTTTGGTTATCTGCGTTCCTGGCATTCTCCCAATTAGGTTGAATTACCGCCATTCCTTTTCTTGCCCTGCCGGACTAATTACCTCATCTTACCTTGATTGGACTTCTAGTTACAGATTTTGTTGACAATGTTTTGGACTTGAATCTCTGCAGCCAAAAGCTGTTCCTGGGGGAGTTTTTCTCCAGTCCAGAAGGTAACCAGGACATTGGAGGCAAAGTTGGAGCAAATAAAGGGACTCCTACTTATTATTTGACTGTATTGCCTTTGTGCCACGCCCCTTTGGGTCATCACACACTGTACTTATTGCTTGTAATACGATCAAGGATCTTACCCAATATAGACATTAAGATAAACAGGTCTACACTTTCCTATCTTCTCATTTGTTCCTTTTTGAAGATAGCAATAGTACTTAGCTCAAAATAGCACAAAAGCACTTATCTACAGCTTCACAGTGCTTACAGCTGCCTCTAAGTGGTTTACAGAGTCCCCCCCCCCCAAACAATCTGTGTCATTTTACCGACCTCGGAAGGATGGAAGGCTGAGTCAACCTTGAACCCATCAGATTCGAACCAAGTTTGAGCTGCAGTACTACATTTTAACCACCGTACCACCAGAGCTCCCTGTTACGTTAATTATACCCATCCAATTCTTTCTGTTAGGGATTGTACCTGAAGTGTATAATAAAGAGAATGTATATTTAATTATGCATGTACTAACTGCAGCTAGAATTGTATTTGCACAACATTGGAAAGGGGAGGAGATCCCCACAGATGAGGAGGTAGTTAGGAAAATGTTAGAATGTGCAGAGAGGAATAGATTAACACTAGCAATTAAGTAGAAAGAGCAAAATGAGTAGTATATGATATGGAAAACAGAGAATAAAAAGAAGTTGGAAATGAAGAAGAACAAAGGAGTTGTTCTGACCAAGGCTTCCTGAGACACCAACAAACACGCATAAAATCCAAGATCCTTTTTATTTTAGTTCAATGGCTGTGAATTATCGTGATTCACAGCCTTGAATGAGTCTTAAAATAGTCCCAGGGACGTTTGCCAAAATTCTTCGAGAGACATTTGATAAGAACGCACCTTTATCTGACTTGAAGTGCTGACAACGACCAAAGTCTCAATTAGTCTTTCCAAAACCAAACAGAGAACAAATTCACCACGGAGCTTTTAGAGTCCAAATCGATCAGAGCGAATGACGTTGCTTCCTGCAAAGGTTTTCCTACCTTTGCACTTCCTTTATACCTTATGTGAGGGGCAATCACCTCCAAGCCTTACTCCCGAGTCGCCCCTTTTGTCTTAGTTGTTCTTGCCTTCTAGCAGCTCTATGCATGTGCGCACTGGGAACAGGCTCCCCTTGTTCCTCTGCCTCACTGCTGCCAGATTCAGGAGGCTCCGGAGTCAGCACATAACTCCCAGATGGTCCTGGCCCCATCTCTGTATCGGACGCAGGACCCTTGTCCAAGTCCTCCCCAGATCCCGGACTGGTCCCTGTTCTTCCCCTCTGTCGGATTCTCTACAACAGGGGTCCCCAACCACCGGTCCGTGGAACAAGTCCTACCGGGCCTCTGGTTTGCTGGTGACCTCACCGGAAGCACTTTTTCATCAAAAAAAGATGGCAGCGCCCAGCTAATGCCGGTACCGGGCCGCGCCATAAAAAAGGTTGGGAATACCGGGCCGCGGCATAAGAAAGGTTGGGGATCACTGCTCTACAAAACTAACTTGAAAAAAAGAGGGAGAAAGAGGAAGGGTCACCCATCTTGACAGCTACAGTTGAATTTGAGCAGGAGACCATGAAGGATGCCAATTTTTGTTTTTTAAAAAAGCACGCTACCCAACTTTTGGCGGGGGGGGAGGGAGGGAAAGCAAGCAAGCACGAGGACAATGGTTGTGAGATTCGGAGGGCACAGCTATGGTGGAAAACTTTGTCCTGTTCCCAGTCCGGAAGAAACGTGTAGCTGCTTTCACTCAAAAGTGGGAGGAAAATAATTGTAGATTCTACTGCCGTTTCCGCAGGCTTCTTCTTCTTTTTTTTTTTTAATAAGTTTTTTATTTTTTTAAACAAACACAGATAAAACAATACAGAAAAACATAAAACCATCTTTCAATTACATACAGTGTGTTGACTGGTTGCAATTCTTTCGTGCTACATGTCCATAGTCCTCCTTCACAAGTCACATAAATTCTCATATTTTCCATTTTATGTATGTATATATATATATGTGTGTGTGTGTATGTGTGTGTGTATTATTATCACTGTGGTTCTTTCATTTGACAATAACTATTTGTTCCACCACTTCATATAAGATATTCAACATTTTAAACCAATATGTAATGTAAATTCCATTGCCACTTCATCTAATAAAAAATACATTCTTATATCATTTTCTCTTAAATTCTATTATTTTTATATTGTAAAGTTATCTATAAAATATATCATTTCCACACTTTTTTTTTCTAACCATTGATAAAATAAACCCCATATACCTTTTAATAGTGGTTTTTCCGCAGGCTTCTGACAAACCACAACAGGAGAATAAAAAATAAGATAAGATAGAAATATACATAAGATGATAATTTGTTGTTATTCCTATGGTGAGAATAATGAGATGTAATGTTAATAAGGTACTATCACCAGAAGACTTGTAAATGTTTAGCTGTTTGATGTATTTTAATCCTAAATTTAGAGAAATAATATCGATGTGAAAGTGAATGTTGTAAATGGTGAAAAATGTGGCACAAAGGCGTTTGGGCCCAGTCAACATACTGCATGAGGAAAAAAATCCAATCTTTCTATTTTTGAAACTGAAAAATAAAAAACATATTATTAAAAAAAATTACATCTATCCTACATTAGGGTTTATTAAAAGAAGCTAGTTTCATCGTTTCATGCATCTTAGTTTTAAAAACGTTGCAGTTTCTCTGGACAAAACGAACAGCAAGCTAATGGAGTTTGGCTTTCTGGCAACAGTGAAATTCAGTGACTGCGTCCTTATGATTGATTGTTCTCTCTTTCTCTCTCTCTCTCAGCCGCTATTTAAGTAAAGCTTTCCACATTTTGGCTCAGAAGAACAAATTCTCCTCTTCGTTCATTAACGGCGTCATCTCTCATACCGAAACCGAGCGTGCGGCAGCGGCTTGGATGTTATTGGCAAAAGTGGCTGGTTCTTCACCCAAGTTGGACTATTCGAAAATCATTGATGCCTGGGACAGCATCAGCAAGTGAGTGAAATGTCGCACCAAAGCTGGAGTTAAATATGACAATCCTCTGATTTTGGCCTAACACAAAGGGCTCCAAACCTAGCGACTGTCAACCCTGAAGCTGACCTGATCGAGGCCATTTTGAGGCTTCAGTGCTGCCACACTGGAGCTGAGGGGTAGGAAGGAGGAAACAGAGATAGCTGGAGTTTGTAGCCAAAATAAAATGCTTTCTCCTGGGAACCAAGGACATTCCCACAGGTGGCTGGAGAGAGGAGGAATGAAGTTACCAGGCAACTGGACGGCACCCTGATTGGACCATGTGACTGATTGTTTGGGAAAGGGGGGAAACTTTTACTTTCAACTAGGTGCAAACCATGGGAATATTCAGAGTCGGTTTTCCCCAGCCTGTGCCAATATGATATATCCAATAAAACTATTCTTTGAACAATCTACCTGCCTTGGAGTTCTGTTTGCTATGGGCATATTACTTGGAACCCTGACAGCGACTGTAAGACTTGTGGACTTCAACTCCCAGAAGTCTTAAAGTTGTCAAGTTTGGGGATCCTTGGCCTAGCATAGTGATATACACACCCCCAGTTGGTTTACAGCCCAGGGTCAAATGAGCCAAGGCACAACAGGTGAATCTAGTTGCTTTCATTCGTGGGTGAGAAGTGGGGTCGTTCATCGCTTCATTCTTCTCCGTTTTCCAGACAGCCCAAAGCCAATCTGGAGACCATGGTGCACATCCTCAGCGTGATTGGAAGTGTGGCCAGACACCTGCCCAGCGGCACCAAGAGCAGGCTAATGAGTGAGGGCTCCCTGAACAGTCATTTGGGAGGGTACTTTTCTGGAAGCAACCGTCTGTCTTACGGATTCTTCTTTGTGGTGAGAGGGAAGGAACTGTCTATGCCCCACAACACCCATTTACTCTGGGGGTTTGGCCTTCTTTTGCAGATGATCTCAAATGTTGGCTGCAGGACTTCCAGTGTCCTTTGGAAGCGATCGGCTCAGCTATCGAAACTCTGCAGAAGCTTAGCCAGGCCGTCACAGACGCCCCAAAGGAGATGCAGGTGAGACTCGGCGAGTCTTCAAAACCATGGATTTTATGTCCCAAAGGTGCTTTTTCAGGAGGCAACTGGACTTTCTGGTTTTTTTTTCTTTTGAAGACGTTTCGCTTCTCATCCAAGGAGCTTCTTCAGCTCTGACAGGATAGTGGCAAATGGAAGGATTTGTTCTCCTTGCAGACAACCGGTCATATGCATTCTTTTAGAGAGTCATTGAGGCAACCCGGAGATTTAACTGTGTCCTCAGGGTCACCTGAGTGGTGCAAATGGGTGTGGAGCCTTTTGGGAACTGCTGAAAGGACGGTTGTTGTAAACTGGAGATAGATGATGTTGTACCCCTTCCCTTCTGTTGAGAAAGGGCTGTTCAATTTCATCATATATAGCCTCTTTGATAAACCTTCAGGTGGCCTCAACGACCCTCTAAAAGGATGCAAATGACCTGCTGTCCGCAAGGAGTGTAAATCCTTCCGTTCCCCACCATCCAGTCAGAGCTGAAGAAGCTTCTTGGATGAGAAGCAAAACGTCTTCAAAGAAAAACAAAGAAAGTCCAGTTGCCTCTTGAAAAAAAGCATCTTTGGGACAACCAGGACCTGTCCTGGAGGACTGAGAATCTCCATAGGCAGCTTACCTGTATGCTGATCAGGTGGAGGTAGATCACACCAGTCTCAGGCTGGATAACTTGTCATAAGACACAGCCGTCCTCCTAGCCACAAAGAAGTGGGATCCTGGGGAAGGTTGCTGTGTTAACTCGGCAAATACTTACTCAAATTCCACCCATCTCATGTTTGAACAGGAGCTGCTGAACAACCTTTGTGGAGATCTTTTAACGACCTGTGAGCAATATATCTCAAAAATAGTCCTCCAAGAATTTGGCACGGAACAGCTGCAAGAGGATGCCTTGGTAAATAAAACCAGAAGGGTTGTGAGTGGTCAAATTCTGAATATCAAATGTTGGGGTTCAACCAGCCCACCGGAGGAAGCCTCAACAAAAGATTTGTAAGGACCAGCCTCTCTTTCCCTCCACCCACCCCGCTTCAAAACAAGTATAGACTCTTGAAAACTTTGTATTTCAAAAGGAACCTTTTATTGAAAAGGGTGTGAAAGCAAGTCAGAATTCAAAGCAGGTTCTGAGGTCCCTCAGGGCATACAACCAGGATAAAGGAGATTAGAACCCCCTCCCCAACAGTCCAATGTGGATTCCACCAATCCAAAGGTATGAAGGTGTTATTATACAGGCATCTCTGAGAAAGCAGGTAAGAAAAGTTGCAATCCACATGGCCCCCTCCTCCCCTTGCATTTCCCCCAAGAGGTGAGACTTTTCCGGGCATCTGGGGCACCAGGAAAAGGTTATAAGTCAGGTAAAAGGTGATGCAAAAGACAAGGCAAGAAATAAGATACCTAGGATACATAGGAAAAAGAACTAAATGTATCAAATCCGATCAAAGAATGGCAGATACAAGGATCTGGCATTTGTCAAGGCAAACCCTTCTTTCCATCTCACACCTTTTGTGGTGTGGAGACAATAACTTGGTCCTCAACACCAATAAGACCAAGGAGCTTATCGTGGACTATAGAAGGAACAGGTCAGACATCCAGCCCTTGCTTATCCATGGAGACCGAGTAGAGCAAGTAGCCAGTTTTAAGTTTCTGGGTGTTTCCCTAAAAGAGGACCTGACCTGGGGGTGCTAACATTGCAACCCTGGTCAAAAGGGCCCAGCAGAGATTAGACTACCTGAGGCTTCTCAGGAAACAACAACGGAATGAAAAAATGCTGGTGACCTTCTACCGCTGCACCATATAGAGTATCTTAACTTATTGCACCTCTGTATGGTTTGCCAGTTGCACAGGGGCAGATAGGAAAGCACTCCAGAGGGTTAATGTCATTGCCCAGAAGATCATGGGTTGCCGTCTCCCCTCTTTGGAAGAGCTTTATAGCTCCCGCTGCCTTAAGAAAGTTCAAAACATTCTCAAAGATCCATCTCATCCTGGGAACCTTTTTTTGAGCTATGACCATCTGGCAGACGGTACAGAATAATAAAAACAAGGACAAATAGACTGAAAAACAGCTTCTATCCCAGGGCAGTAGCTCTTTTGAATTCTGCTGTATAGTGCAGTGTTGGTGTGGTGTCGGGGGGTTTCAATTCAATGTGTGGAGTGTGAAGGATGTGTGTTTGTGTTTATTTTCATGGTCAGGATGTGCACTGAAGATGCTTGATTTCGTTGTACGAGGTGCCCTGACAATAAAGTAAAGTAAATTAGCTAGATTTCCACAGAATAGTATTTTAATACCAATTTAGGATTTCCCTTTCTACTTTTATGGCTTTGTTTCGTTCGGCAGGTGAGGCACCTCTTCACCTTGGGTGAGATTGCACAGCTCTGTCCAGCCAAAGTGGACAAGCGCATCTTCTTGCTGATCCAATCCCTCTTGGCTAGTCCTGACAACATGGAACATTGTAAGCTCTTCCTCCTCCTTTGGATGGACCCCTTGCAGAGGGAACGGCCTCCTACTTGGAAGTCCTTCCTTATTGTGTGTGTGTGTGTGTGTCGTTTTCTAGTGTCCAGCCCTGCGGAGAATGAGGACCTCCCAGCATCCCAACCGTTGTCACAATTCCGAGGGTCCATGATGCCTTCTCCAGTCCGAGCACATGCATTCATTACTCTGGGTAGGACGCCTAGGCACTTTGGGGCGGAGGGGGTGGGAGAGGGGAGAAGGCTTGCCGTAAGCCCTCCTTTCTTTTTCCCTAACACCCACCGACACAGCGTGTTTGCATATCTCAAAAGTTTTGTCCTCGGTGGTTCTATTTCATCTAAGTCCAGGATGAAATGAAGATAATAGACAGCAAGACAATTAGTATAAGGTTCTGTGTTTGGTGTCCTTTCCTCTCCCTTCTTCACTCCTTTCCCTTCCTCTCCTCTCCCTTCCCCTCCTCTCCTTCCCCTCTCCTCTCCTCTCCTCCACTCCTCTCCCTTTTCCTCTCCTTCCCCTCTTCTCTCCACTCCTCTCCCTTTTCCTCTCCCTTCCTCTCCTCTCCTTCCCCTCCTCTCCTTCTCCTTTCCCTTCTTTCTTCCTCCTCTCCTCTCCCTTCCCCTCCTCTCCTTCTCCTCTCCTCTCCCTTCTCTCCTCCTTCCCCTCTTCTCCTCTCCCCTCCCTCTCTTCTCTCCCTTCCTCTCCTCTCCTCTCCCTCTCTCCTCTCCTTCCCCTCTTCTCCTTTCCTCTCCCTTCTCTCCTCTCCCTTCCTCTCCTCTCCTTCCCCTCCTCTCCTCTCCTCTCTCTTCTCTCCTTTCCTCCTCTCCTCTCCCTTCCTCTCCTTCTCCTCTCCCTTCTCTCCTCCTCTCCTCTCCCTTCCTCTCCTCTCCTTCCCCTCTTCTCCTCTCCTCTCCTCTCCCTTCTCCTCTCCCTTCCTCTCTTCTCCTCCTCTCCTCTCCCTCTCCTCTTCTCCTCTCTCCTCTCCTCTCCCTTCCTCTCCCTTCCTCTCCTCGTCCTCTCCTTTTCCTCCTCTTCCCTCCTCTCCTCTTCTCTCAAATTTAGTTGAACTAATGATTTCTTATCCCTCCCAAAATATGAAATAATAGTGTCTGGTGAGCTCCTATGCCACCTTAGACATGAAAACTTGCTAGATGACTTTGAAAGGCCTGAAAGGCAGCTGGGTGACTTGGGACCAATTACCCTGAGTTCTTGTCCCGCTTCAGGCATAAAAGCCAGCTGGGTGACTTGGGGCGAAACACCAAGAGACTGGGAGTTCTAGTTCTGCCTTAGGCATAAGATCTACCTGGGTGACTTTGGGCCAGTCGCGCACTCTCTCTCAGCAACTCACTTCGCAGGGTTGTGAGTCAAGGAGGAGGAAGAAGGAATACTGGGTCTGTATGGAATGGATTTAATGATTGCCCGCCTCTATTGCAGGGCGATAAAAGAAAGTTCTCACAAAAGCCCTACAGGTTTTCTCTACAGTAGCCAAAGGCAGTCCAAGGCAAATATTCCGTGAGGTTTCAAAATCCAGTGATACGATGTGGTCAGGAGAAAATTAGTGGCCCCAGAGCTGTAGCCTTGACAATCAAACTGGGACTCTGATATTCCAGATCTGTCCCAAGATTCTCCTTTTCCACTTTCCCCGTTTCTGTTTTTTTTCTCTCCTCTCTCTCCTGGTTTTCTCTCCCTGCCATTTCCAGACCAGAAAAAAATCACAACCTTCTCATTTTGCTGCTTCCCTTTATGGCAGGAAAGCTATGCCTGCAACATGAGGACCTGGCGAAGAAGTGCATCGCGGCCTTGGCTCGCGAACTGGAGGTGTCCAAGGACGTGGCCGTCCGCAACAATGTGGTGATCGTGATGTGTGACCTCTGCGTCCGCTACACCACCATGGTGGACAGGTACATTCCCGACATTGCCGTATGCCTGAAGGATCCGGAGCCATTCATACGAAAACAGACGCTCATCCTCCTTACGAATCTCTTGCAGGTGAGGGGAAAGCAGAAGGCCGGAATTTAAGCTTCTTCATTGTCTAGACTGGGCGTCTCGGGAAATGTAGTACAGGGTGTTGAATTTATATTTACCGACAAAGAAATAAAGGGACACTAATACAGATCTATTTCAAGTTATTTCGTTCTCATCAGCTAGCCATATCCTTCTGGGATTCAAACCCACGATACTTGCATATTAGGTAGATGTATTAACCTCTAAGCCACAGACTCTCCTTGTTTTGCTGGCTATACGCCACAGGGGTGCAGTGGTTAGAGTGCAGGCAGTTCGAATCTCACCAGGCTCAAGGTTGACTCAGCCTTCCATCCTTCCAAGGTCGGTAAAATGAGGACCCAGATTGTTGGGGGCAAGAGGCTGACT